CTGTATATTTTATGTTCTCACTGCTTCCTCTTTCACCCAGCAGAGCTCCAAGGAAGGCCTAATACTTGTAGCCCATGAAGACCTCAACTCAGACCCGACCCAGAATGTACACAGCGATCTTTAGGAGAGCTTCAAAGAAAGGTAACTGCCAGCAACAGAAAGGGCTTCCTATTCACAAGACTTGCTACATTACTCCAAATGGACAAAATGAACGTTTCTATTTAGGATCAGAAACCAGAGAAAACAATATCACCATTTTCATAATGTGTAGTTATGGAAGTAAAAAAAATTAATACAATGGTATTTATTTGTTACATAGTTAGTCTGGCTGAAAAAAGACAAAGGTCCGTCCAGTTCAACCATTAAAAAAAAAAAAGTTATAATCCTATACCCACAGTTGATCCAGAGGAAGGCAAAAAACCCAGCAAAGCATGATCCAATGTGCTCCTGCAATTTGTAATGTATCCAGTGTGGAAACATAAGGCATGTATTCACTTTTTTAAAATGAAAATGCCATAGAAGCCAGTAATACTTCACCAGATCTTCACCCTCAATATGAAATTGCCTCCCCTCCTCCCCTCCGCTGTGCAAATTGGGCTTTCTACTTTTTAACATTTTTTTATATATATATATATATATATATATATATATATATATATATATATATATATAAAATGTTATAATCCTATACCCACAATTGATCCAGAGGAAGGCAAAAAACCAGCGAAGCATGATTCAATTTGCTCCTGCAATTTGTAATGCCCCCCCATGCTTGTCACTTGCCTAGGTAAGACAAGAACTTTGCCCGCTGTGCCTCCTGGGAAATGCACAATATGCATTCCTTCATTCAGAAATGGACAGGGGGGAGCAGGGGCGGACTGACCATTCGAGCACTCGGGCACTGCCTGAGGGCCCGGGGTCAGTAGGGGGCCCCATGAGATGCCCCTGGTACCTTTCATAGGCTTTTTTGGGTGCGGTTTGAGTGTGGGTGAGGACACAGGGGCCCCATGATCCCCCTATTGCCGGGGGGGCCCCATGAGTTGTCAGTCCGCCTCTGGGGGGGGGGGAGAGTCTAGCAGTGTATCATTGGGAGAGCCACTAGCTGAATCCGGAAGAGATGACAGCTTCTCGATGACGGCACTGAAGAAGATGGTGGCGTAGGCCCAAGTAGGGGTAGAAAAGAATCAGATCTCAGGAGGACAAGGCTGGATCTGTTGGGCAGGTGAGTATCTTAACTGTGCAGGACCCATAACCAGGTAAAGAGGGGTTAAATAAAAATGGGGGGAGGTTGAAGATACGCTTTAAAGTGGAATTCTTGGCTCTACCTACCTAACTAAGCCTCAAATTTGCTCCCCCTCCCTTCTAACACCTAAGTGCCCTGTAAAAGAAAGATGCTTACTATACCTAACTACTTTTACAACGCTCCAGTCCAATCACATGATTGGCTCCCAGTGGTGGCTTCAGGAGAGAGAAGGGACAGCCTACAGTGGATGCCCCATAGTAAGCCTATGGGAGATGTTATCATCCAGGCATTTCAGCCATTATCAGAGATCTCCCCTCTTCAATGAAGCCAGCTGCTGGGGAGATCACATGACCAGAGTAGAACACCCTGAGAATAGGTAAGTACAAGCATCTCCCTTTAACAGCGTATTTAGTATAGGGGTTAAAAGGGAGGTGGGAGCAGTTTTAGGCTGAGTTAGGTGGAGACGTGAATTACAACTTAAAGAAGATCTCCAGTTAGAAATACCAGCTAAAAATAAAAATGATCAGGCCATTAAAAGATTAAATGAATTCAGCTTTCATTTGCAATATTCAATATCAGTTCAGTGATTACTCCCACACAGCACTTATTAATGTCCTTAGATGTATGCAATCTGATGTCTGGAGGAAAAAAAATTGTAATCTCCAAATACAGAAAGGTTTCTTCTCAGTAAGAGCTGTGAGAATGTGGAATAGACTCCCTCAAGAGTTGGTTCTGGCCAGCTCAGTGGATTGCTTTAAAAAAAGTCCTGGATTCTTTCTTGGATACACAGAATATAACTGGATACTAACATTTATAGGTAAAGTTGATCCAGGGAATATCCGATTGCCCCTCGAAGGATCAGGAAGGAATTTTTCCCCCTGCAGGAGAAAAATGGATCATGCTTTGCTGGGTTTTTTGTCTTCCTCTGGATCAACTGTGGGTGTAGGATTATAACTTTTTTTTTTATGGTTGAACTGGATGGACTTTTATCTTTTTTCAGCCAGACTAACTATGTAACTATGTCCAGCAACAGTTAACCCACTTCCTCCAAGCCCAGGTCATCCTGAACCCACCCCAGTCTGTGACTGGACAGTGAAAGGAGTATAAATGTGTGAGTTAGCGAGCGCACCTTATAAAGCTGCTGGTGCACAAAAAGGAACCACAGAGCCTTTCTAAGAATATAACATAAAAATGGGGTGTGCAGCGCTATACAAATAAAACACACTGTCATAAATATGACAAAAAGTAAAAAAAGTCCTATAAACTGAATGGCAAACAGTCCGAGGTGATATGGTATCAGTCCAAATAGGTATATTCCAGTGATGGAGTATATATGACTTCAATCCAAATGGGTATATTCCAACAACCCAACATGAAGGTGTAGAAAAATTGCCCACTCACCGGAAGTGCAATTTAATGTGCACATAGAAATTCCTTGAAGCCGAAGGTCCCGTGAAGGTGCGGCCTGATGATAAAGGTGTCCTCTGGTGGTTAATGGGGTGACGGCTGCCAGAGATGATGGTCTGGACCTATATCCCAAATCCTCCAACCTGGGTGGACTCCTAAAATGCTGGGCTGAGATAAAATGGCCGCCGGAACTCTCGCGCATGCGCAGTGGACCGCGCGCCGGCCATTTTTAGATGATCTTAATATCACCAATAACATGGCGCCCGAGCATGCGCATGAGGCCGAATAGTCGGCAAAATGGCGCCCGCGCATGCGCAATAGGCCGATAAACGGCAAAACGGCGCCAGGCCCCTTTTTTGGCGCAATTTTAACTTATAAATAGGAGTAAGGAGACGTCTGGCGTGCATGGCATCACCCCTACAGGAGACGTGTTATTACACGAAGCGCGTCTAGGAGGAGCCTCTGCACGCTTTGACGTCACGCCACCGGATCAGGAGGTCCGATGGCCATCATTTTTATCCACTGGTCAGTACATTCAAGAGCTCATTCACACTATACTTGTATAGGTTATTATCACCCTGTACGTTTACTGTTTACCATAATGATATATACCCTAATAAATACATTTCACAATACTACACCATGAGCGTTTTCATCTCTATTACCTGGCACTGAGCCTCCACATCTCAGCCCAGCATTTTAGGAGTCCACCCAGGTTGGAGGATTTGGGATATAGGTCCAGACCATCATCTCTGGCAGCCGTCACCCCATTAACCACCAGAGGACACCTTTATCATCAGGCCGGACCTTCACGGGACCTTCGGCTTCATGGAATTTCTATGTGCACATTAAATTGCACTTCCGGTGAGTGGGCAATTTTTCTACACCTTCATGTTGGGTTGTTGGAATATACCCATTTGGATTGAAGTCATATATACTCCATCACTGGAATATACCTATTTGGACTGATACCATATCACCTCGGACTGTTTGCCATTCAGTTTATAGGACTTTTTTTACTTTTTGTCATATTTATGACAGTGTGTTTTATTTGTATAGAGCTGGACAGTGAAAGGAGAAGGAGCGCAGTGATGATCTCATCTGTCACTTTGCTCTCTCCTCCTATTGTCATGGTCCTTGTGAACTTATAAACTCCCTGTGATCCTTCTTCCTCTCATACTCCAGCTCTGCTGTACATGGGTGGCAAGATTCTGATACCAGGCTAAATTCAGATACTTACATTGCTTGTATTTAATAAATAATATTTATAAATGTATTAATGATTACAGAGCTGCAATTATTTGACACTTTTATATCTGCCTGGAGTTCAGCTTTAATCTACAGTGTACATCTGATTTCAAAATCTTTTTCTAGCTTTGGATAATTTGACATAGAATTGGATGCCCTTTTTGGTTTTCAATTCTAGTCCATGGCTCCAATGAAAAATTTACTCTCACTTCCTGTCCTTCAGCATACAAATATAATGTGCAGTAGAATGTAGAGACATGAGAATATATTGAAGTGGGTCTTAGTATTTACCTACCACACTAGAAAAAAAAGTTTTTATTTTCCTGTGTAGCTGGAGAGTAAGGTCCATATCACCCCTCTGTGTTGTATGCACATTTTAGGTGCAGTGCGTTAAAGTGTTACTAAATCCAGGACCCTGTATTCATTATATCTGGTCTCCCACAGTACATGGAAATGCAATTATTTTAGTAAATATAAACTGCTAAATACCTTTTCTCATCAGCAGTATATAGCAGTCTTGTGACTTCTATCCGTGTGCAGCAGAGCACATGTTAAAGCTTGTAGGAGGAGTTTTCATTTTGCTCTAGGAGGATGTAGAACCCCTGACCTCTGTCTGGACAGTGCTGATTTTCCCTGTGCTGATCACATGCACTCTCCCAAAAAAAAAAACCTCTCTAGCAATACACATCAAACTGAGCATGTGCAGAGTGACTCCACACCATATGTCTTATCGGGAGATAAAAGGGGGACACTGGAAGAAGGGGAGGATCGGAGAAGAAAGGACCAAACAGCCTTTTTACTCAATGCCAAGGATTAACCCCTTAGGTTCCACAGTGGGTATAGCAAGCATGCTTTACTGCATATACAGACTGAGCATACTGTTGTGGGTTTTGTAACACTTTAAGTCCTGCTTGTTGTATCTTTGATGTGCTTTTATAGAAATGCATGCTTTATAGAGTTCAATGGTAGTGCACCTAAAATACACCACACAGATGTGAACCAGCCTTAAGAAAAAAAAATGTTTTGGCTGGACTTACATTTTATATCAACACAAAAAGTTTGCATATCACGGTTTGCTTTAGAGCTGAAAAACGTGCTGTACCTGGAATATCCTGTTCGGTCAGATTCACAATAAGAACATCCTCCAGGCTGCTGTGGTCCACATGACAGGAGTAAGTGTCTCCCTCCTTGGTTGGCACTTCCACACTAACTCTGGTCTGATAGGTGCCATCAGGATGGGGGAGAATTGGACTCATTTCATCTGAAGGAACATGGTCCTCCCCATTCCTCATCCACATCACATCCACATCTCGGGGGTGAAACCCGTACACCAGGCACTGAAGACTTGTCATCTCCCCTGACCGATGATGACCCCAAACCTTTACTTCAGGAAGCACTAATAAAAAGAAAAAAAGACAATGAATTAATGGTCTTGATTTTTCATGTCTGCTGGCTCTCGATTCCACAGATGATTGGGAACCAGAATGGTCAGCAAACATGTCAGCTTATACAGCATAACCTTTTTTTCCTTTTTAATGGTTGAACTGGATGGACTTTTGTCTTTTTATATCCAGACTTTCTCTGTAACTACAGTATGTAAGGAGGACAGAGAAGACAGGATCAAACAGCCTTTTTACACCATGCAGAGGATTAACCCCTTAGATTCCACAGTGAGTATAACAAGCATGCTTTACTGCATATACAGACTGATTGTACTGTTGTGGGTTTAGTAACACTTTAATACCATTATGTGGGATACAGTCTGCACTTAGAATCCGTCTCATTTTATGGCAGGTACATACAGTAAGTTATATATAGATGAATATCAATTATAATTCCATCAAATATTTTTTCTTACCAGGCTTTAAGATCTCTTTCATATGGTGCAGGTAGACCTTGAACCACCTCTTACACTCATGCTCCATATACCCCTTTTGCTTTTCAGCACTGGACTTGCGTCTGTTCCAGACATCTGCCATTTTCTTTGCATTAGCCATCAGGGGGACATACTTGGACATAAATGTATCCAGGGCTATAAAATTATCCCCATTGGCTGCAAACTCTTCATATCCGCTATAGTTCTCATCTTCATCTCCAGATGTCAGGCACCAAAATCGAACTTGTAAAAACAAACCCATCATTTCCATCTGCAAAAAAAATAATGATCAATTTTTTTAAACGTATATAAAATGTATAACCTGCACACAATTAGGCTCAATTAATAAGGCCCAACAAAGGGCAGTGAAGATTAGCTAAATCAGACAACCAATCATATTTCCTCTTTGATTTAATTGGAGCAGCCTAAAAAATTTACAGTTGCTGACTAATGATATAGATGGATTATTATTACTATGCTATTTAGCTAATTAAATTCTGTGTTTCCACTCTTTGTAAACATTCTGGGCAAAGCGACAGGTTTGCTCTAATCCCTCCCTCTACAGCAGCATATACAGTATACAGTACGTTTCCTTCACTTTCCCATCACTCAGATCAGCTGCTGGATGGATTTACTAGTACTTCTGGTTATTGAAGATCATGTGACAGCAGTGGACCAATTAGCAAGCCTTAACATGCTGTCACATGGAGAGTCCACAACTTGATGTAAGCTATAATTGGCATAGTGAAGACATGCTTGTAATATTTTCTGAGATACTAAATAGAAACATATAATGAAAATGGAATTTATGATTGCAAACTCATTCCATGTCAGTTAACTGGGCACCAGTTCACAAATAGAACATTGGGGAACTGGAGAAAGTACAGAGAAGGGCAATCAAACTGATACGAGGCATGGAGGAGATCAGCTATGAGGAAAGATTAGAGGAACTGAATTTATTCTCTCTTGAGAAGAGGAGATTAAGAGGGGATATGATCACCATGTATAATACATAAGGGGGGATATGATCTCCATGTATAATACATAAGGGGGGATATGATCTCCATGTATAATACATAAGGGGGGATATGATCACCATGTATAATACATAAGGGTGGATATGATCACCATGTATAATACATAAGGGGGGATATGATCTCCATGTATAATACATAAGGGGGGATATGATCTCCATGTATAATACATAAGGGGGGATATGATCACCATGTATAATACATAAGGGGGATATGATCACCATGTATAATACATAAGGGGGGATATGATCTCCATGTATAATACATAAGGGGGGATATGATCACCATGTATAATACATAAGGGGGATATGATCTCCATGTATAATACATAAGGGGGGATATGATCTCCTTGTATAATACATAAGGGGGGATATGATCTCCATGTATAATACATAAGAGGGGGTATGATCTCCACGTATAATACATAAGGGGGGATATGATCTCCATGTATAATACATAAGGGGGATATGATCACCATGTATAATACATAAGGGGGGATATGATCACCATGTATAATACATAAGGGGGATATGATCTCCATGTACAATACATAAGGGGGGATATGATCTCCTTGTATAATACATAAGGGGGGATATGATCTCCATGTATAATACATAAGAGGGGGTATGATCTCCATGTATAATACATAAGGGGGGATATGATCTCCATGTATAATACATAAGGGGGGATATGATCTCCATGTATAATACATAAGGGGGGGATGTGATCTCCATGTATAATACATAAGGGGGGATATGATCTCCATGTATAATACATTAGGGGGGATATGATCTCCATGTATAATACATAAGGGGGATATGATCACCATGTATAATACATAAGGGGGGATATGATCTCCTTGTATAATACATAAGGGGGGATATGATCTCTATGTATAATACATAAGGGGGGATATGATCTCCATGCATAATACATAAGGGGGGGATATGATCTCCATGTATAATACATAAGGGGGGATATGATCTCCATGTATAATACATAAGGGGGGGATATGATCTCCATGTATAATACATAAGGGGGGATATGATCTCCATGTATAATACATAAGGGGGGATATGATCTCCATGTATAATACATAAGGGGGGATATGATCTCCATGTATAATACATAAGGGGGGGATATGATCTCCATGTATAATACATAAGGGGGGATATGATCTCCATGTATAATACATAAGGGGGATATGATCTCCATGTATAATACATAAGGGGGGTATGATCACCATGTATAATACATAAGGGGGATATGATCTCCATGTATAATACATAAGGGGGATATGATCACCATGTATAATACATAAGGGGGGATATGATCTCCATGTATAATACATAAGGGGGGATATGATTACCATGTATAATACATAAGGGGGGATATGAACGCCATGTATAATACATAAGGGGGTATATGATCTCCATGTATAATACATAAGGGGGATATGATCACCATGTATAATACATAAGGGGGATATGATCACCATGTATAATACATAATGGGGGATATGATCTCCATGTATAATACATAAGGGGGGATATGATCACCATGTATAATACATAAGGGGGGATATGATCTCCATGTATAATACATAAGGGGGATATGATCTCCATGTATAATACATAAGGGGGGATATGATCACCATGTATAATACATAAGGGGGATATGATCACCATGTATAATACATAAGGGGGATATGATCTCCATGTATAATACATAAGGGGGGATATGAACTCCATGTATAATACATAAGGGGGGGATATGATCTCCATGTATAATACATAAGGGGGGGATATGATCTCCATGTATAATACATAAGGGGGGGATATGATCTCCATGTATAATACATAAGGGGGGATATGATCTCCATGTATAATACATAAGGGGGGATATGATCTCCATGTATAATACATAAGGGGGGATATGATCTCCATGTATAAATACATCAGTGGTTCATATAGTGAACTCCGTATAGAGCTATTCACCTTGAGGTCATCACAGAGGACAAGGGGGCACTCTTTATGTCTGGAGGAAAGAAATGTAATCTCCAAACACGGAAAGGTTTCTTCACAGTAAGAGCTGTGAAAATGTGGAATAGACTCCCTCAAGAGTTGGTTCTGGCCAGCTCAGTGGATTGATTTAAAAAAGTCCTGGATTCTTTCTTGGATACACAGAATATAACTGGATACTAATATTTATAGGTAAAGTTGATCCAGGGAATATCCGATTGTCTCTCAGGGGATTAGGAGGGATTATTTTACTCTGAAGGAACAAATTGGATCATGCTTTGCTTGGCTTTTTCCTTCCTCTGGATCAACTGTGGGTATAGGATTATAGCTTTTTTTTTTTTTAATTTTTATGGTTGAACTGGATGGACTTTTGTCTTTTTTCAGCCGGACTAACTGTGTGTAACTGGAAAGTATAGAACTGCAAGACAATGGCATAAAGTACTAGGATGCATCGCATTGTAGCACATTATGAATGCTTATCTTAGAATGAAAGCCCTCCAGCAGTGAGCTGTCACCACTGACAGAGCTTCCATCTTCATCCGGTCTGCCTTCAGGGTTTTCATGCTCCGGCTGTCTGACGGGCTGAGCCGTGATGACGTTACTCCCAAGCATGCGTGCTGGAGTTTTGGTCTGAGCACATGGCTCTGAAGGGACGGTACAAGTATGCCCTCCCTTCAGAGAGTATGCACCGGTGACGTCACTGGCTGCATGCAGTGTGAAAATCTCCTAAATAGTGCAAGTTTAGGAAATATTCACTGTACCTACAGGGGAGCCTTATTATAGGCTTACCTGTAGGTGCAAATTTAAAAAAGACTTTACTTCCACTTTAACCTCCCTGGCGGTATTCCCGAGTGTAGCTCGGGGTAAAATTTCAGTACCAAGAGCGGTAACCCCGAGCTACACTCAGGCTTACCATGCGGCGTTGCTCAGGGAGTCCCTGCAGCGCTTACGTTGTCCTTCGCTCCCGCGATGTGTGCCCTGCAGCGTCCCCCCGGCCATCCCCTCCGGCCGATGCCGACATCCGGCTTCCGTGTTCCGGTCCCTGTGACGTCGGGACGTACGGGCGCCGGAACCGGCGGGAAATTTGAAATTTTTAAAAAATTTACTTTTTTAAAAAAATTATTATTATATAGTAAAACATTGCTGTTTCAATGCATTTCACATATATTTTGTCCCTACTGCTTTGTCCGGCGCCCTGCCTACATTTTTGACTGTTCTTTCTGCCTGGGAAACTTAGAAAAGTCCATGGCGTCCAAAAAGCGTCCCTTTATGTCAAAAGCAGTTTTAGACCGGCTAGAGAACAGCGATAGTAAATTAGAACCACTTGCAGAATTGAGTGATAATGATTCGTGGGGGAAATTCGTCATCAGACACTGAAAACGATTTTGCGACTTTGCTCAGCGATGTGCGAATTTGTCTCTGTATTTCAAATTTCAGTGTTTTTTGGTTTGATTGTATTATTGAATTAAATTTATTATTATTATATTATTATTTTTTATGATTATTAATTAAATTATAATTTATGATTTCGTGTTTCAAGTTTTATCATACCCGGGATGTTTACTAGACTCTTGTTCGTACAGATTTCATTGAGTTATTCCTAAAAATTACAGCCTACAATAAAAAAACTACATATTCCATGCAAAAAAAATGGTACCGCTTTCAGCACCAAAAATCGGAAATAATCATACCGCTAGGGAGGTTAAGTTTATTTTAAATGCAAGCAGTGTAAGTATCTGAATCTGACCTGGTATCAGCCTCTTGCAGTTTCTGTACAGTAGAGCTTTGAGAGGAGGAGGCAGGAGCAGTACAAGGAACCAACCAGGCAGGTTGCAATGCAAGGGGTATCCTCATAGGAGGAAAGAGCAGAATGTAAGAGATATAAGCTCATCACTGTGCTGCTTCTCCTTACACTGTCCAGTCATGGAGTGGGGATTGGGATGAGACATTTAAAGTGTTACTAAACCCAGGACCCTGCATTCACTATAAGTGAATTTCAATTTAAGTGATAGAGAAACTGCAGCAGAGAAAAATCAGGTCCCCTACTCTGCAAGGTGGGACTGCCTTGTGTGGCAGAGCTGTGTAAATCTTAGGACTGGGTGGACAGAAATTTGTATCCTTTAAGAGGTAAAACAGCTCCTCTTATATGTATTTCACATGTGTTACAAATATATCCCCTGTTTGCTTGGAATTCAGGTTTAAGTTTGTTTCAAGTTACCTATGTAAACCTCTTTTGTGCTTCTTATGGTTGATATCTAAATCCTACCCTTTACCTTTGGTGTAATTGAAATGTTTCATTACATCATCTGTGATCTCTTGTTGCCTGTCTTCATAATACTGAGCGATCCGGGTCTGATTCTCCCAATGCTGAGGATTTATATCAGTCTTCATCCAGGGCTGGAGAAGCTGTACTCTCCGGGTCTTACTGTCATATCGTGAAATCTGTATATCATCTATGTAACCCACCGCTTGAAAGGATGGGTGCCCAGCTCCAGGAGAGGAGTCTGTCGTAAAATGATAGTGAAGGCTGTGAGGCTCTGTAAAATAAAGGACAGGTAAAATGTAATGGAAAATCTTTGAAAACTTTGCCCTACTACTTTTTTCTCTTGTTTTCAAACAAGCTATCTCTTGAAAGAGACAGAGATAAGCCAAATGACCTAGGAATAGGCAGAGTTAATCACGATCCTGAATCTGTACATGCCCAATCTGTGAAAAATTGCAAAAGTTGTAAATATTATCTTCATTCTGCATGAGGGATTACAAAGTTTCATATACCGATATTTGAAGAATTTTGATTTGTCATAAAGTATCGTATTTAACCAGATTTGCAGATGGTAGAACTTCCCATTAGGACTTTTCAAAACAAATTGATAAATTAGAAATTTGAAAAAACATGGCCTAGCTTTTGCTTCAGTTGGTGGCTTATTGAAGCAGATATGTTCTACTTTAGAATGGAGAAATCCTGGAAAGATGGCCACATAAATTTGTGATGGCCACCAATCCTAAACTGTTTAGTTAGCCAGCTGATGTTCTGTTCAAATGAACCGTGAACAGTCGTTACGACCAGACTATATTCTGAGACTGAAAATTTTATCAGCGGTAAAACATACTTTTCAATTACACAAATGTGATCTGTAATTTCATAGTTTTCTGATGGCAGTACAAGAGACCCACTTTTAATTTGAAACAGCCTTTAAACATGGAAGAACCCTTGAAACAATTTTCCAGTCTCAAGGAACCCCGACTAAAAGTTATATCTCCAACTCATGATAGATTAGTGTCATAGTTAGTGGAAGGAATGCTCTTTATACTTGTGATCATTAGGAAGATGTACCCCCTTACACATAGCTAAAAAGATCAATGGTGTCAGTGGGAACTTATTTGAGAAGCAGAAATTGCTCATTGCTCAAGGAACCCCTAGCAACCTCTGGAGCAGGGGTGTCAAACTGGTGGCCCTCCAGTTGTTGCAAAACTACAAGTCCCATTATGCTTCTGCCTTTCGGAATCATGCTTGTAACTGTCAATCTTGCAATGCCAATTGGGAGTTGTAGTTTGGCAACGGCTGGAGGGCCGCCAGTTTGACACTGGAGGAACCCTAGGGTTCTATGAAACCCTGGTTAAGAAACCCTGATTTAAAATATAAATATATGCCGAATAAGAGAATGTATTGCTTTCAGGACCACCAAAGACCTACAAACATAAACTGAAACCTTATACATTTGTTTTTCAGAGGCAAGTCTGAGATGAACCATTTGCCAGCTTCTATGTTTTAGATGCTTCAAAGATGACATAATACCAAGGTGGGTCTCAACATCCCTTTCTAAGTCCATGAGGATGGTTTCATCCCTTTGCAGCTTGATTCATTGGAAGCTCCACATTAAGAAGAATCTACCAGTGCTGAAAATGACACTATTAGTTGATTAGTTGTGTAGCATTTGGAATTCAGAAGCTGATTACTTAAAATTGTTTTGCCATGCGCAACCAACAATTAAAACTTGAAGCATAAAAAACAGGAATTAAAGCATGCCTATGCAAAAATCTTAATGTAAAGAGATAGATAGATAGATAGTTAGTCATATACTCATCTTTTCTGGAAAAAAAAACTGCTCCAGGTTCCTCTGGTATTAGTTATATACAGTGAAGGAAATAAGTATTTGATCCCCTGCTGATTTTGAATGTTTGCCCACTCACAAAGAAATGATCGGTCTAAAAATCGAATAGTAGGTGTATTGTAACACTGAGAGACAGAATAGCAACAAAAAATTCAAAAGAGATGCATGTCTAACAAATGATGCACTGATTTGCATGTTCATGAGGAAAATAAGTATTTGATCCCCTGCATAAAACATGACTTAGTACTTGGTGGCAAATCCCTTGTTGGCAATCACAGTCAGGCGTTTCCTGTAGTTGGCCACCAGGTTTGCACACATCTCAGGAGGGATTTTGGCCCACTCCTCTTGGCAAATCCTCTCCACGTCATTAAGGTTTGGTGCCTGACGTTTGGCAACTTGAACTTTCAGCTCCCCCCACAGATTTTCAATCGGATTAAGGTCTGGAGACTGGCTAGTTCTGTCTCTCTGTTACAATACACCTACCATTCGATTTTTAGACTGGTCATTTCTTTGTGAGTGGGCAAACATTCAAAATCAGCAGGGGATCAAATACTTATTTCCTTCACTGTATACCAAATCCTAGGAATTTAGTTACATGGTCACTACTAAAGAGAAGGATTAGTCAATCTTTACTCTAATCCTCCCCAACAGCAAGTGAGATGAGTCTTTAGTATTTGGTGCAGCATATCTAGTTAGGTACATATAACAGAGATATCTAATTTCCTATCCAATCTACAGATGAGATTCTGGATAGGCTGTACTGTTTTACCTCCAAGTCATAATTCGTCTGTCCTTCAAACATTGTGGTCGTCAATAACGGAGATGCTACCATGACTTCAGAACCTGCTTTGGTCTCCGTCTGACGTTGGTCCCCATTGCACTTCTCCACTTTCAGCCATTTACCTTTATTCCTTATCTAGCTATTCTCAGATAAGGAAAATGTGGTTTACACTGCACCGGATTCACTTATCTCTCACTGCTGTAGTAAGAAAAACACATAAAACAGCAATAAACATTTATACCTTTAGACACAAATGCATTATAATTGAATTACCGAGAACCCCTTACAATCCCATAGTATTCCAGAATGCTGTATGTTTTACACTGAGATCATTACTACCCTGCACACTACAGAAGAAATTACCTGTGCACAGATTATAGCGGAAGTCCAGGCAAATATAAAATTTAATGCATGAATGCATTTGAAAAAGTATTTTTAGAACACAACTGGCACAAGTACCTAAATCAGCCCAATATTGACATCTTGTCTTTTGCTACACAGCAGCACTTAGACTGGGAGAGGGAGGGGCAGTATTAGGAACCAACCAAGTTGTGCTGAGTGCACATTGCCCTAACATGAGATATGCTGATGGAAAGAGAGAGAAGAGTGAGCACACATGATGACTTAGATTTCATCCTTCACGACTGCATAACCTGTCCATGCCCCCCTCCCTTGCATCTCACCCTCTCATCCATTCATGTTGTATATTTCAGGTTTCCATCACACCCAGTTACCCCTGCCCCTTACATTTCCCTTACACAGGTCACCTCCAAGCACTGCCTATTCGTTCCACCCCCTATCCATCTCCCAGTACCACGCCTTTTACAGAACACAAAACCAAATATGATTTTGCCCTATTAAGTAATTTGCATGGAATTTGATAATGATAACAGAAAAGCAGTAAAATAGGTCCCCTGCAGCCTGCAACAATAGCATCCATCACCAACAAAAAATCTCCCCAGCAACAATCAATCCCCCACCAGCAACAGTAGATTGTCCCAGCAACAAATGACCCTCTGCAACAAAACACCACCCATAGATCCACCCTAGGGAACAATAAACCCCGGCCAGCAACAATAGATCTTTAGTAGCCAGCATTAATAGACCTTCCAACAGCTAGAAACAAGAGAGCCCTCCATCAACAGCAGTTCCCTCCCAGGAACAATTTCCCCCTAGCAACAAATGACCCTTCCCTCAACAATAGATCCTCCAGTGAAAATTGATCCCCCAAGATCCAGCATCAATGGACCCTTCAACACACCCCAGAACCCCTTGCCATTACATACATTCAGAACTGAAGGGGCAAGAACTGCAATTTCCCACATTTCCACTGAAAAAAGCCCTGTCTTTTCCACATAACAGGTATAAATGAATCAGATTAACTTGCGAGCCACAGGTGTGATCATTTCTAGAGGATCGCAAACATGAAACACATAACTACAACTGTGTTGGAAATATCTACAAATATATGTTGCGCTCCTAAATATTTCTCAATAAATAATAATTAAATTAATGTCATTAAATTAATTCAAATTATGATGCAAATAACTAATAAAGTGTAAAAATACCAAAAAGATATTTAAATAAATTATTTCAACTAATCAATCACCTCCAAATAAATATCAAAATAATTCCACATGATGTACTCCTCTAAAAAAATTAATCAAGTGCTCATTAATCATCTATTAGTGGGGGATCATTTAAATGGGGGGATCATTTATTATGGGGGATCATTTAAATGTGTTTTAGTTGAGGGTTAGAAGTTGGTTCACATCTTTTATTATATTATATGAGGGTATTATGAATTTAAATGAAATTGAGGGTATTAGTAAGTACATCATGTCACTAATAGATGATTAATGAGCACTTGATTAATTTTTTTTAGAGGAGTACATCATGTGGAATTATTTTGATATTTATTTGGAGGTGATTGATTAGTTGAAATAATTTATTTAAATATCTTTTTGGTATTTTTACACTTTTATTAGTTATTTGCATCATAATTTGAATTAATTTTCCACATAACAACACTGCACCCAGCTCACATGCCCCTTCTGCTCCCCCTCACTTGTCCAGGTTCTGCCATTCACACACAGTCCTTGTATGGCCCACCCATGCCCAAACCCTCCTTCACAATCCCCTTCACTCCAGTTTTTCCCGAAAGAGAAACTGGTACTCTTTTTGGCTATTTATCCTCTTCAGCTCTTTGGACGTGTCTGGTACATCCAAAGCCTGAAGAGCTGTAGATTCCCTTGAGGCCTGGCACTTTGAGTCAACGCAACCTCATCTTTTATTGTGTACTAAAAAATGAAGAATTATATTGTGATTGAGATGCAGTTTTATGACCCCTGGCTACCCACCAAAAGGCTAAACATCAAACGGAGGAGACCAGAATTATAGGAGTGTTGCACTGCTACAATCTTAAACCCAAAATTAAATATTATATACCCCAAAAATATATAAATATTATTTTGTGCTGGTATACATAAAATCATCAATACTGGAAATTATAAATGGCTATCCCCCTCCAGTCCATCATGAATATTGCTGCCAGGCTCATTCACCTTACCAACCGTTCAGTGTCTGCTACCCCTCTCTGCCAATCCCTCCACTGGCTTCCACTCGCCCAACTAATAAAATTAAAATA